CGAGGTCAAAGTTGATCGTGAGCAAGTTGGCGAGCAGGTCGTCCGTCTCGTCGCGCAGCTCGACGGTGGCCGCGCGCAGCTGGTCGTCGGTGGCACCGATCGTCGCTGTCTTGTCTGGCACGAGCACCTCTTGCAGCGCTGGCGTCGTCAGCAAGAGCGACGTGAGCGACGTCTGCAGCGCCATGACGTACGCGGTGATGTTGAAGGTCGAGGGATCGAGCACGTCGAGGTCGACGACGCCGATGAGCGGCGAGTCGAGGCGGAGGCCGTGGACGCGGGCCATGATGGCTTCGGACGTGTTGAGCGAGCGCATCGCGAATCGAAAAGTGAGCTTCTCCGCGTAAAAGGGTCAAGGGGCCTTTGGGCCTGTCTGCGCATGCTGCATCCTCCAATCGCCACGTACGACGGGCATACAAACATCAAGTGCAGGACGATCTTGGATCGCGCATGGGCTCGGACCGTACACTGTACCGGTATGATACGTCGTGTGGCAGGAGATCGGCAGGCGATCATGGCCCGAGGCCGCCACCATCATCGCTGCTTGCGACGCCATCACATAGCGACCGGCGAGCAAGTAGCGAGGACGACGAGGACGACGACGACGCGCCAACGATGGGTTCAGGAACGGTGGGTGATGGCGGCGAGCGGTGGCCGCGCTACCACGACTGCACATGGGCGTCGCCTGACGCACCGACGAACGCCATAGCACGCGTCATGCATTCGGCTAGAGGCTGGGCCAGCGCTGCTTGAGCTGGAGCCCATGGAGCCGACACGCTTTGGCCCGATTTTGGCATGTTGTCGCCAACTTCAAGTGTTGCAGTCGGTGGGGTTGCATTTGTCGAGGCTTGGTATGGCATTGATCTCGCGGCCCGCGCTCACGACCTTGCGGTGATGCATGGAGTTGTGCTTTATATCGCCACGCACTGTCGATGAGCTCGTCAAGGACTCGAATCGCCCTGGGTTCCGAGTTCGTTGCAACGTTGCAGTCGGCGGTGCTGGGTCCAGCTCACGCTTCCGACGCGTAGAATTGGAAGCGTCATTGACCACACACAATAGAGCACACGGCTCTCAAAGAAGACTCTTCAGGGACCGAGCGGTCGAGAGTATTGTCATGCGCACGCCCACTGTGGAAAGACGAACAGTGTGTCGTCGGTGCCCAGACCACTCGAAGACACCCATAAATGGCCATGGTACCGATCCGTCCCGCAGCGAGCTACTACTAAAATAGTAGTACTGGGTATCTATCTCGTATATCGATGCGTTGATAGACCACGAGCCGCGAGCGAGACGACCATGGCTTTTCTCGGACCTCGGCGGCCGCATACCCTACCCCTCATTGAGTCCCCGGTCGCGTCGGAATGGTAGAGGGACCGCGCGTTTGTGGGCTTGCGCCCGTACGACACGGCTTTGTGGAAGTGCTGTCGTCGATCGATATGCTGAGAAGCCATGCGTGCAAGACAGAAATAGCGAATCTGTGTGGGCCATAATTGTGACCGTGACCACGACGGCCAGCGCGATCACGTCACCCACTGCGATATTATAACGTTAGAATCTTATCCAAAATTCGCTAGATTGTTAATTGCCTGTAGGCTAGTGTCACAGGAGGTTCCTACCAGTATCATTCTGGTCACCCCAGCCTTGAATTCGGTCGGTCGTTTAACCCAACGTGTCTCTAACTGTGCCACAAGCGCTTTTCCCGGTGCCACAGATGAGCACGACGTGGCACCGCCTATCCAGATACGTCGTCACGGCCTGGTAAGCGAGCCAAGAAGGAGAAGGCTAGTCTCTAGGTGCGCGACAGCTCGACAGCACGACGATGACGCGTACACGGAGCGCGCAAATCTCGTGGCGGGAACCAATTTGGTGCGTTTAGACATGTGCTTTCACTAATATTATAGTACAAGACGGTAAACAAGTAGGATAAAATCACACATCCGAATTGTCTATGACATTGGCGCGAGGATTGCCAGCTTCTGCCCAAGAGAATGTCTACTGCTTGATTACTTACCGTGTGATTCTACTCAAGCACGACGCCATGCGTAGACCTCGTGGTTGGACGAATGGGACGCTGAGACGAACCCGCGATAAGTCGCACGAGCTCCGCAGCGAACTTCAACCGCATACGCAGGCGCTCACACTTGCTACGTGCCGTGGCTGCGCGATGGCCATATCGCACAGTCAAGATACGTTCCATGCAATGCAAGAAGTCTCGTCGCTAGCACAATAGGTGCGCTTGTGCTTGGCTTGAAACAGAGTGTCCATGAAACGAACGAATAAGATCAAAGTGATTGGCATGAGAATGTCAGTATCGTCGAGTGGTTAGGACCACGTTGAGATCGAGGGTTCAATCCCTTCGACTGATATGTTTCGCACACAATGAAAGCAGCCACAACCAAGGCAGATTTGTCCTGCCACGCGATGATGCATCCATCCTCCGACCTTCCGCCGAGAACTGACCAGCAACGCCCCCGAAATGACCTTTGGGTGCCGTGTGAAAGAGACATCATACCACAAGGGTGCGTGACGAGAGGACGGACTCGACTATAATGACGTGGTATCCGTACCAGTCCACGCTGCGTTGCGATACACATCACGATCCAAACGACCGTGTCCATGGCGTGGACACGCACGCATGGGTGCGCCCGCCGGTCTTGTTCCCCTCTCGAGACCTTGTCGACGCCCGGCGCATTCTTCGAGTGTCGCCCATGATCGTGCTCCTGCGCTCTACATGTCAAATCTGCTCTAACGGCGTCGTACGGGCGAGTGGAATGGCCACGAGAACAAAGCCGTGGTGAGTGGAATATTGGTCGTTTTTGATTTTGTTTGAAGACACGAATTGGAGCTACGATCTTACTTTGACTGCGGCTCGTTGAGGAGGAACGCGACGCGGAGACGAAGGTCCAGCGGCGCCACAGCAGTAGCCTCTTGACGGGCCTTGCGCCGGAGGTACTTTTCACGCTGGCGCACGCGCTCCCGGTCCTTCTTGTCGCCGTAGGTAGCGCGCAACTTGGCGAGGACGTCGTCGCGGTGCTCGTAATAGTACTTGAGCGACCGGGACCGCGGGCTCTTGGGCGTTGGACGTCGCAGCGTCTCGTCGACCGTCGGTCCGTCGCAGGGGGCGCTGCCCATGAGTGTCGTCGTTTGGCAAAAGCAAAGTGAAAGCGTAAACACAACCAAAACTAGTACGTTGCGTGTTCGATCGCCTTCCCAGCGAACACCACCCGATCGATTTACAAGTGGAGACAGCACCAAATCCGACGAGACTGCTTGCATTGCACGGACCTGGCAACCACACCACCAAGCTCTACAAATCCAAAAGACGGACTAGGACGACCCCGTACTACGTCGCTTCCAATGCGCCGCTTCAATGGTACCGCGTCGTGCAACGTGCTAGGCACAGAGTCGACAAGTACGAGGAAGGAGCGAATGGAGACCATCGCACTGCAGCACCTCCGTCGAATTCGTTCAAGGTCAACAGCAATATAATATTGAGCGTCAGTCGCCGGTCGGACGACGCGGGCTCGTCTCAGCGTTTGACTCGAGTGCAAAGTCGGCTTTGGCCGGCTGTTCGCGACTATGTTGTGCAAGGACGACGTGCGAATAGCATACCGGTACCATCCTCCTGCGAACTTGCCCTCTGGCCTCTCGCACGCGGTCTGCTTGAGCGGCGCCGACGACAAAGTTGCGTTTTTTTCGTTTTGTGTGTACACATCCACGCCATCACGCACGACGACCCGTCACGTGTCGGAATGCACGCACGAGTAGACGTGCAGATTGCCTCGGCGGCGTCGTCGCATTCTCGTAGGTATTATATATAATAAGATATGACTGGTCTCTACTACTCTAAGCGAAGAGCGCATGGAGCGCTTGCTGCTGCGTCGGCGACATGGACGACCACACGGCTTGCATGACGTGCGGCGGAATGAGCTCGCGGAGACTGCGCAGCGCCATTTGAATGTCGTGGAGGACGTCGTCTTGGTCGGCAAAAAGTTGGGCGGAAATCGACTCGGCCAGCACCGAAATGAGCGCCGGGACGTTGGTCGCATCAAACACGATCCGGTGCTTGGACTGGATCGCGGCGCAGAGGCGCTGGATGACCGCCGCCGACTCCTCGAGGTCACCGCGCATCGGGAGGAGGCGCAGCCACTGCGAGAAGAGCGTCGGGTTGAGCGCGTCGTCGAAGAGGA